CGACTGGGCAGCCGTTCTGGCCAGTCCACATGCTGGCTGGCAGCTGCAGCCCCACGCATCCCATCTGCTCCACCTCTTCACTGCCGCAACTTCCAACCTTCTCATGTATGTCACTCATTTTAAGGTAACTTTGTTTTCATGTTAAACTTCATCAATGTAGTCGTGATTTATGATTTGGCTTACTGTTTTTCCTTTTGCAGTATCCTTGACGATGTGGAGGTGTTCGAAAAACAGAAAGCTTTTGAGTTGGAGGAACTGATGACCATATCAGACTTTTTCAACCACCTCATTTATGAAACGGTTCTCTTAATGTCCGAGCGTAAGTCGACTCCCCGCGCTCTTATGTTGGCCTGTCGCCACTTCTAGGTTTAGTGTAGGGTTAGGGTTCACCCTACGGATTTATTTTTCGTTTCTCGCACTTTCAGCCATCGCTCCTTAACCTCTGTAAGGAAAGTTTAACAAAAGTAGAGCGAGTACAGAAATCTGTTCCATTATTATTATTATTATTATTATCATCGTCGCCGTCGTCGTCATCATCAAGTTTCGACAACTTATCTCCATCTTCATGGCTAGTTTTCCCAGTACTTTCTTGTATTCCTAGAAGGCCAAAGTCAGCTTTCACCACACCATCCGTTGGCCACTTTGATGTCTTCCCCAGTCGAGAGCCGATTTCGTCCAAAACGGCATCCCGAGTGATTATTCACGTCGGCGCCCCACATGGTTGAGCCGTCTCGAGCAGTCAGTAAGGGGGCGACGGTTGCTGGGTTCTCTTTCTAACCGTCTCCGGGCAAGGTGGAGGATGAACCGAAAACAGGATCAGTAAGATACTTCTGGTTGACTGATATTTGCAGGATGAACCGGCTATGCCTTACACTTGCGTGGGAAGACTGTCTTGATTTTCTGGCTGTTCGCACATCGATTTCGGATGTTTGGCTTGGGTCGAAGACTGCTCAGCACAATTGAGTTGATTGTTAATCTCATTTCTGCCCAACTAACTGGAGATAGTTCGGCTCAAACAAACAGAAGCTATCCGCTAGCACAAAGCTCTTACTATATACTGTGACACGGCAGATATCCCCGACCGTGAAACCAAAAACGATTGTTCCTGCACGGACAATGGCGCGACCACTAGAACAGCACTTGTGTTCGTCTGAACTTACGGCTTCATACAAGGGGCATCTTCAGAGACAATGGGAGTGCAGCGATAAGTACCGTGTTTTGTATTACAGCTACAAGAAAAATAGGGTGTGGGGCTAGGGGGAGCAGAGTGAGGTTAGCATTCGTAATAGGTTGGGTCCCATGCTCACGTCGTTGTCACGACATGCGTTCTTGGTTAGAAATCGGGCGGCGCGAACGAAAGGCATGCTAGCAAGGGGGTATATGGACATGCATGTTGATAGGATTGGGATTGGGCCTCTAGTAGCTCTCGCCCGTCTTATCACTTAAGGCAAGAAGCAACCAATAGGCACCGAGTCATGAGACGGAAAGACCCACTGTCACGACAGGAGTCGTTTTCCGGATCTGGTGCAGTTGTGGACAATGCACCTACATCGGAGAAACTGAGAGATTACTCCGGACGCAACTGGCCGAGCATGCAACGGCGGTGAGGAATAAAGACGCCAACTCCCAGGTAGCAGCTCACTCGGCGGGACCCGGCCATATTTTCAAATTCAAAGAGGCAGAAATCCCCTCAAGAGGTGACAACCACGTGAGCCATTGACGAGGCCGAAATTCTCGCAAGAGGCGACAACCACGTGAGCCGCGAGCTTTTCGAGTCATGGTTCTCAGGCCCCCAGTCCATCAACAAGCGCAACGATTTGGCTTTTCCCTACTGTGTACTGAGACATTGCCTGAGCACGAGAATCAGTCACGTGGGAAGGGTCGGGCCCAACAACAACTCTGACGACAGCGAGCATAATTGTCGCGCAATTACCAAGCCCGTATCCGACACGGACAAGGAAATCGCGGCAATTGATTAGAAGAACGCGAAGTGTCAAGCCATCACCGAACCAATTAAGACCCAAGCGGTGGCTACAGGCGTGGATACTTACAGTTAGCACGCGAATGACCTCTACGAACTATAAATACCGTGCGATCTGCGCATGACTCAGACTATCTTACCATTACCTCTGAGTAAGGATTCCCGACAGAATCCGAAACGTCAGGAAAATAAAACTCTTGTTCCAGTGGTCGCATCTTCTGAACTGCTTCCTAGAACTCGCATATTCACTTCTGTTGGCAACAGTCGCGACTTGGTATTTGATAAACGAAAACAGTCTGTTCACCTACATCCGATCGGTCTTTCATTCGCATGATCCGAGAACGCATTGAAGCTGTCGGAGAATGGGCGATACCCTTCCCGAACTGTGCAGCGATATGTTCCGTTGCTTCTGACACATGCGTTATGTGCAGAAGATGTCATAGTGTTGGGGGTTCTCCTCCGTTTGTTCCCCGTGGGCGCGTAAGGAAGCACTCTGCACCACCACCCATTTTTCTTGTAGCCATAATACAAAACACGTCAATTCTCTCTGTATTGTCTCTGAAGATGGCTCAGTGAAATATGTCAGCTTTGGATGTATTAAGCGTTAAGGCACTGCTTCGTTTATCCTCCCGCACTCATAAGAACTTTCCTTTCTATCATACCTTCGCAAGCTTAAAAAATACATGTTTTCGTACTGAGCCGCACCTTCTCTCCGGCGAAATTAGGTGATCGCACGAAACAGAGCCGAAAAATCCCTACCAAATCACCTATCCCCAGAATCGACCTGTAGGTTTCGTCTGAATGTCCTTTGAATAACACTGATGGTCAATAGCAGACACTCTTACTTACTTGGGTAGGGCTTTCTTGTGAGGCCGGCTAAGGACAAAAGTTCCTCCACCCATGTTTCTTAAGAAAATCGTGGTTGAAGCTTTAATACTTGATTAAGGCGAGATGAATGCACGGTAGGAAATAAATTAAAGTCGTTTGTAATTATTCTACTGAACTAAAAAGTATAGGCGAAAAGAATATGGAAAGAACGAAATCGACCGACATAAACTCCTTTTGGTCAGTAAATGATGCCTATAAACTAATAACAATATTAGGACAACTCCTATTGGTTAGCATAATCGAGGAAGTATTTGGGCAGGTGAAAATTCGACCTACTGAAAATGTGGAGGTAGTTTTTGACATTATTACTCACAAAAAAACAGTCTCATCAAAAAGCCCTACCCTTACTTGTACTTCTTTCGGCTGTGCTCATGTGTGATCTAGCCGGCCTTAATCGTGTCACGAACTGTACCTCTCCACGCGTTAGAATTGACGGCAGCGAATCCGGAAAACCCCACCCATTATCTTCTCCAGCAACGGATACCGATCCGGCGCCGCAGCCCCTCTGGAGGCGCCGAAGAGGTGGGCAAGTCAAGAGTTGACTCAACACCGTTTGTCAAGACATGGAAGCGGTTCTTAGACCTTCAATTGGTAGGATTATGTCGTGGGGTCGTCTGGGGAAAGTGTGAAGCGCGCCCCGCGGGCTAACGTAAACCTGATTTTCGGGGAGAGGACGGCCGGGGAATGTCAGCGAACAGATTAGATCCCAATATTTTTGTTCAATAAAAAAGTTACGAGGGCAAGTTGGGTCGCGTACTCAAACCTTGGGAGAAGACACTGAAATAGGAAGAAATTAGAACCCAATTTGAATGCCCAATAAAAAAGTTACGAGGGCAGGCCAAACCTTGGGGAAAGACACTGAATGAGCTTTAATATCATCGCTAACCCCCCGCCCGACCAACGGATAACGCTAATAGGGGGGAAGGGGGAGTGTGCCCAAGCCTCGGGCGAAGTAACAGAGAGACATTTTCCAGTGGTATCACCAACACCAACTAGGAAAAAGTTTAAAGAAGAACGAAAGTGGCGAAATTATGCAAATCACCCTACTTAGAAATTGTAAGCAAGCGAAAATTCCCGTGGTTAGTTCAAAAGGCCAACTTTTTTTAGTTTGCCGATTATAGCAATTATGGAATGCGGTTGCCTTCGAAAAACCGCCCTGCAGTTCAATGCCATCAGCAAATCCCAGCTGGATCGATGGGTAAAGTGTAGAAAACCGGAAGATTATAGGTAATTTAACCTACTGAAAATTTGTAAGTAGTTGGTTATTATGGATATGAAAATATACGACCCCACGACATAATCTCACCCTTCAATTTTCGGCATTCGATAGCAGACACTCGTGGGAACCCGTATTATGATAGCGAAATGTGGTGACCAGACAAGGCCGCATCTGATACCGATTGCAAGCGTGTGCGTTCCTCATTGGTTTTATGTCTACAAAACCCCTTAATCCTATCTTTTCTTCCAAAATTTATTCCATCGTTGATTCTATTTTCAACTGCTTTCCAGCATCTACGCTGCTCTCGGCTGACACCAACCAAAAGCTCGTTGCCTCGAGCCCGTTGGGAACAGATGCAGTAATGAACGGTTCTCAGTCCTCGCTTACCGGACCTACCGTGTTTGCAATCTGTCTTCGCCTCCTTGGAGTTCTTTACGATCGCGATGGCCGCCGAAAATTCACACCAGAGGGCTTTTGGCTGATAAAGTATGTTCGCACTCTAAAGAAAAAGAAGGCGCGACCTCTGGAACGATATTTTTGTTCCGAACTTTCGTCCCCACACGAGAAGCCATCGTCAGGTGCCATGTCGCGACTGCTCTTGCCATTATACAGGGCAGACCGGGCGACGACTTAGCTGGCGAATAAAGAAGCACAAACAGGCAGTGCGGAGAGGCGACCCATTGTCCCAGATCTCTACCCACACTATGGAAGAAGGCCACGAATTCGAATTCTCGAGCACACGGATAATGGCACGAGCCAGTAATAAGACGGGGTGCGAACTGCTGGAGGCCTCGGTGTCAGATCCTAACTCCATAAAA